CAGTCACTTAATGGTGTCAGCATTAGAAAGCACCCATATCCTTGCAGACACCAACAACCATGACCGTCTTTCAAAAGAAAAGCACCCATTGAGTCCCCATCAACTGCAATCACGCCTTTGATATGTTATAGTCGTTGGAGCACGAACGACAGTTAACCCTCACATTGACGCATTCGTCTGACCCATCATTCGCTGGGACATAGCGCGAGACTCGTTCTTACTTCTTCCAAAGTGCTGAGGTGACGGCTTTCTCTGTTTGGTGACAGCTGCTAAACGCCCATTGTTAGCCAACTGCTTGCGCGGTGGGCGTTTCAGCCTTCGCCCGCTGACAGTGTGATGCCGATAAATATTTTCGTCCTCAACGATTGGCCTCAGCTCAGACGTATGCAGGTACCTCACGCTGGAGTTGACGACATCACCGGCCGGCTCTCATCTTGATGGAACTTTTGTTGTGGAACAAAGTCAAGGCAGTCGGGAATTGGCCTGAGAGCAACAAGTGACACGGACAAACAGCCCGTCTACGTGTGCCACACACAACCCTGTCTCTAACACAGCAGGTTTGGCTCAGAAGGGGCTCGAATTTTACACAAGTGAGGATGCCATGAAAGCTATAACAATAAGGAGTCATAGAGACAGTCCATCAGTCCTTATTGGGACCAGGGAACACTGTCAATTGGTGACCTTCCAAACCACGGCCGTCAGTGCGCCTTGATGGATTTGCCTGACGCTCGGTTGTTTATGGAGAAGTAAGCGCCGGATAGACCTCCATCTGTCAAACGCATGCTACAAACGGACTCAGATCTCACAGAAGTGGGTTGTGGCGGTCCGAGTGGTGAGTGTACTCGAAAGTAATAACCACAATAACCAAGTCAAGTTCTATCAAGGGCAGGAAACCGAAGGCACCACATAAAGGGGTTTTGATTGTGCACAGAACCCCCCAGTTACCCTGCCAGGTGGCAGTGACCGCAGATGAGGCCAGGCCAGAGAGTTTGACCGTGATGTCAGTTTCTTTTAATGCGTTTGTGGGATCGAATTCGGGTGTCCGG